CAGACAGACAGACAGACAGGCACAGAGACACACAAACACGCACACAGAGACACACACACACACACAGACTCACTCCTCTCTTTACGAAGCTCGAGACAGCCGAGGCTCTCTTTTACGCCAACAAGAGCTGGTCTGAGAGTGACGAAGGCCCCTATGTAGGGTTTGGGGTTTCGGGATTCTTGGTTTTAGGTCTAGGGTTTTTGGTTCAGAGTTTTCGGGGAATGGGGGTTGTGGGTCTTGTGTCTTGGACTTGCAATGAAGGCTTCTTGTGTTCAAGTTCTCATTTCAGAAGGTTCTGCGCGCAAGCAAGAACGAAAAGGATACCGTTGTTGACCACTGTCTTCTTAATCGGCCTCTGGAGGGGTGGACAACCGTTGCAGGGGTGGCTTTGCTACATCAAAGACACGTAAAACTTACAGGCTCTTGAGCATAACGCATCCAAACCCTGCAAGCCAAGACTTGCTCTTTGTATTAAGGATAGGAGTGCTCTTGAGGCAGGGTGGGGAGAGGGGGTTCGGGTTTGGAAGCCTCACTTGAAAATCAATCAGAAAGTTGATAACATTCCGGAATCTTTCGATGGCTCATTCCGCTTGGTTTCTCGCGTCTCCGAGAAATCCCAGCGAAAGCCTGAGGGGTGGGTGGGGTGGGGTATAGAGACGATGTATACGTGTTTTTGGAAGCTTTGCTGCTTGTTGGGCTCACTACTTATCTGGGTGATTTTGTGATAGTCTTTCATTTGTTCGTAGTATGCTCAATTTCGTTGCGGTTTCGTACTTCTAGTAGTTTCAGTTTTTTAAGTTTACACGTGTTTTACTTTTTCTGTTGTCAGTCACATAGTGTGGCTGGTTTTTGTCAGCGTTCATTTCGTGTTCAGGTTGTTTTGGGGTAGATATGGGTGAGTCTCGAGTTCTGTTGCTTCTTGTAAGTTTTGTTTGTTTGTTTCAGTGAGTTGCGTTGGATGGCATTCAGTCCTGCGTTTTTTGTTGCGGCTCAATGTTGCATTTAACATGCATCATGTTGATTTCGTTTTGATGGTGCTATAGATTTTCGTCTGAGTGTGTTTGGAATGTTTTTGAATTTTCTTGTTCATCTGTCTGGAATGTATGTTGGCGAGGGTTTGGTCCAATGTTTCCTGTTTCTGAACGTTTGATGGTTGTTCCACAAGGTTCCTAATGTTTCGCATGTTCTTGATGTTGGTCAACTCCCAAGAAGTCACAGTGCAACTATATGCCTGGTCCGAATGAAAGACTGACAGCAACAGCCAACAGGTTTACACATGACCATCCTCATACCACCCAGGCGATGACAAAAACGAATCCCAACACTGATCATGCTTCACCTCTCCAAGTTTTTGGAGTTTGTCGTAACTGTTCCTCCCCCAACCCACTACGCCGTGTAGACTCACAAAGAACAAGGTGAAGCAGTACACATAATCAGTGCATCTCCATGTGTCTTGCTGGCTTCCCAGTACAAGCCCGAGCTTGCGACGACGATGTTTGGGGCTTAAGACAGGCGAGGCTTTGCATGTGATTTCCGAGACCCCAAACCCTGAATCGCTGAAGCCCCCATGCCATCCCAGACCCTTAAACCCTACAGCCTACATCTTTAAACCTTAATCTCTTAAGCCCTGAATCTGAATCCTAGTGCTGGCGTGTAAGTTTGTGCCTCAGAGTTTCGTGTTGAGCCTTCGGCAGGCCACCTTCGCATCTACCGTCGGCGGCCGCCCTCGGGTGCATATTGGGGGCCGGGGAGGGGGGTTCTCTCGAACTCCGGGTTGCCCTCTAAACCCTAAATCCCAAACCTTGCCCTCTTTGAAGTCTACTTGGAGGTTCGTGGGTAGTTATGCGTGGGGTTTTAAGTCCCCAATTAGGGTTATAATTATAGTTACCCTACTTGTAACCCCACCTATAGCTACCCATGAACCTCCAAGTAGGGGCTCTTTCTGGCTCCTGGGTTCCTGTAAGAGGGTTCCTTTGCAAGGGTCGGGTATTGTAGGGGCCTTAATAGGGGGTTTAGGGTTTAGGGTTTAGGGTTTAGGGTTTAGGGTTTGCAAGGGTCGGGTATTATAGGGGCCTTAATAATTGGAATAGGGTTTTGGGGCCCATTCTTCTATAATTCTACTAAGCCCGATGGGCCCCTCAACCCCAAACCCTAAACCCCAAAATAAGATAGGTAGCTATTTAGGCCCCTACTTGGAGGTTTATGGGTTGTTATAGGTGGGGTTATAAGTAGGGTAACAATAATTACAACCCTAATTAGGGGACTTATAAGCCCACTTATACCTACCCACGAACCTCCAAGTAGTTTTAGGGTTATGTTGTAGCTCCTGAACCCGTTAGAACCGGCTCCCAGGGATCGTACTTTACTTTGCACATACGAGGTATTTATTCGGATCCCGTCTATTACGGGGGTTTGTTAGGGTTTAGGGTTTAGGGGTTTAGGGGTTTAGGGGTTTAGGGTTTTAGGGCTTTGGGTTTGTAGGGTTTGTAGGGTTGTCTTAGGGGTTGATCGCACAGGGTCCCAAGCGCAGATTCGGGCTTTTGGTCCCGGGTTCGTTGAAGGTTTTGTCATATATATATATATATATCTGCACACACGCACGCATGCATGGAGTTCTCTAAGGACTTGGGTTCAGGCTTTAGGGTTTGGGCTTTGGGGTTTGAGGGGTTAGGCTGCAGGGCCGGGGCAACGGAAGCCCGGCCTCCATCAATCCCGGCAATGCACGTCATATCGAGTAGAGGCCTTAGTTTGAACAGGTTTTCGGTAAATGATACTATAAACGAAAAACAAAGAAATGACTAATGACATATTTCATGTGTACAATTATCTGCATATACATATATATACATATACATATATATATATATACATATATATATATATATATACATTATTTATGTATATATATGTATATGTGTATATACAAATATATATATATATATATATATGTATATACACACAAAGACACACTCAAAGACACACAAAAGGAACCCTGAGGCAAGGCGTCAGCCGTCTTTACCAAGGTCCGAAGGGTCCCAGGCCCGATTCCAAGCCTGAAGTTAACGGGGTTTAGGGTTTGGGGGTTGAGGGTTTAGGGTTTCGGGGTTGGGGGTTTAGGGTTTAGAGGTTGAGGGACTCTAGATTTTAGATTCGTAGGGTTATTTTGCTTAGGGTTTAGGGTTTGGGAATATGTCCTTCACACTCTGAGCATGAAGGAGGAAGTTTTGGCGACCCAGGGCAGAGCATGCCAGTGTGGAGTTCTTTGCGGAAGTATGCCCTGAACCCTAAACCCTTTTTGTGGTTGATAGGAGAGGCTGTTTGGAGAACTGTTTGCAGAAAAGAGAAGCATGGATGTCAACAAACAGCGAATCCTTGCTACGTTCTAGTTCTTTTAGTTGGACGCCAAACTGGAGCCTGAACCGTCCCAAGGAATCCCTTCCAGCTGGAGAAGGGCGCGACGCCGTTTCAGGAGGACGAAGTGGAAGAGGCCCGTTATTGTGATTTTGGGGTTTGTCAGGTTCGGAGTAGCAGCAATATAGAAGCCTAAATAATTACCAAATTATTGTTAGGGTTCCTTATGAATTTATGATAAAGGAGCCCAAAACCCTATTCAAATTATTAAGGCCCCTACATTATGTTATCTGGGACCTAGCTGTGCTCTGCCATGTAGTGGGTTTAGAAGCAGCTTGGAATTTAGGGCTTGTTTGCTACGTCGTGTCTTCGA